GTTAATAATCCATCTGAAACTTCCTCATCGGTTTCGAGTTCATGTCTTCTTCCTTCAACTACTTCATTTTCCGACAAATAGTCGTCACTATCGCTGTCATTATTAGGTCCTTCACTGAAGCTATCTAATATATCTTAAGAATAAGCAAACAGATGTTTAGTTTTCTTCGGAAAATTTCGACTAGTTGAAGGAATTTGATCATCCATTTTTTTTTATTATTTACCACTAACTAACAACCATAAACAAAAGACTATTTACTGTACTTGAAAACATAAAACCTCAAACGTCATAATTTAAAAACTTATTAGCCATTTTTGTTAGACGTTACCATGGTAATATGCCGATTCGATACTGTTCTCAGTGACCTAAGAAAGGACACCGCACTTAAAGCACTGAAAAAAGGTTTCGGTAAAAATGTCTCAATTTTATATATGTTGTAGTCCTAAACATCTTTATCGAATTTGTGAAGAAAAATTGGCGGGGTCCACGAGCCGTTTCGGAGCTAGGGTCACTCATAAGTGTACGTAAAAGGGGGCTTGCTATATGTGCACTACTTTTCAAATTGTCCTTATAATCAAAAAAGAGCATAATTTAAAACAAAAACAGCATGCATGCCTTAAATGGATATAGTTACTGTTATTAAGTCTAAAATATGGCAACTCTACAGGGTGAACAATTTTAAATGGTACGGAAAGTTGAATATTTATAAGATATTTTTAGTATTTTTGTTTCTCGGTATGCATTTTAGTAAAAAAATAATTTTAATACTGACGACGAGCACGTCGATGGGGGGTTAGAATTATTTTGAAATATATAGGGGGCATCATTAGAAGGTGATATCATATAGTTGTTTTTTAAATAGGATGCCCTATATATTATTTCACATTTTCATTCGTTGTGACGAACCGAATTCAACGGTATAGTATACTTTTACTCTGGAGTGAATAATTGAAGAGTTATAAACAGTTGAAAATTGGATTTTTTCAACTTTGGGCAATTGTTATATGAAATCGATTCAAAATCAACTAAAATGGATTACATGTCCCTATTTTAACTTTTTAAATATTATCCAATGATTTTCGCAAAATAATGATACAGAGTTGTAAATAATTCGGATTTTTGACCACCCCTGCATACAATTTTTTTTTATTGTATCATACAGTATATGAAAAGTTAGGACATGGACATGCAAGCCATTTTCTTCGCCTTTGAACCGTTTTCACACAGCAAGTGTCTAAAAGTATAAGAATCCGATTTTCAATTGTTTATAGCTCTTACATTATTCAATTCAGAAGACAAATGTTCTACATCGTTGAATTCCGTTCATTACAAAGAACTAAAACGTGAAATAATATACAGGGTATCGTACTTAAAAAATATAACTTTATGTTGTCACCTTGTAATAATTCAAAATAATTTCAAAATAATTTTAAAATGTGCAGCTCAGAATACCTTATAACTTATGTATACATTTTTTCTTGCAAGTTTTTAAATAAGGGAGTTATAGAGCTACGACAGAGGTTTGTCGGACCCTGTATGGTTACACCTGTAACAAACATTTCTGTTTAGGTTTTCATTAATTTTTTTCTGGATTAGATATATGCTAAAATCTAAAGCGTAACTAGTGGGTACTTGTTCACATATTACAAGCGTAGTTTGGTTTCTGGGATATTCTAGGCATTTGGTGAACGTAAAATATCCTTCAAATTCTCTTTTAGAAGAAATACGAGATGTTTCAAATCGATTTCACATTGCCAATAATATTTAGATTTATTTTTCGCCAAATGACCTGAATGTAGCCGCGCAATAATTTGGTAACTTTTAGTCAATTCTGTAGAAAATTGCTTGGTTACTGTTGCACTTAAGTTAAAAAATTGTTTTGCTTAAAAGTAGTAGGTTGAAGTATCTCCCTGTATAAACGTACAACTACAACTATGATTTGTACAAAACTAGTAAAACTATCTTGATATGGTTTTTGCATCACCCTGAATTTAAAAAAAAAACAAGTCGTCAGTATTAAAATTAATTTTTTTGCTAAAATGCATACCAATAAACAAAAATACTAAAAATATCATATAAATATTCAACTTTCCGTACCATTTAAAATTGTTCACCCTGTAGAGTTGCCATATTTAGACTTTATAGCAGTAACTATATCTATTCAAGGCATGCATGCTGTTTTTGTTTTAAATTATGCTCTTTTTTGATTATAAGGACAATTTGAAAAGTAGTGCACATACAGCAAGCCCCCTTTTACGTACACTTATGAGTGACCCTAGCTCCGAAACGGCTCGTGGACCCCGCCAATTTTTCTTCACAAATTCAATAAAGATGTTTAGGACTACAACATATATAAAATTAAGACATTTTTACCGAAACCTTTTTTCAGTGCTTTAAGTGCGGTGTCCTTTACGAGTTTGATTCTAGTTTGTAGTATTTATAGTTTTTCATTACATTTTCTTTTACATTTTTTGTTCCCTTATATTTTCATTGCAGTTGATACTGATTCATTTGGGTCAGGTAATTAAAAAACACTTCCTATTGTCAAAATAATAACATTTTATTGTTATTATTAAGATGAGCGTAAGAAATTATTACGTAAGAAAAGCTAAATTTTACAACTTCCAAAAAAATAATGGCCAAACTAAATTTAGAAGGACGTAGTTGCTACTGGCCCTACGATTCCCTTAACTAATTTTAGGGAAAATGTGTCGATATCTACGGGAATATCCAAGTCCCCCTATACAGAGTGGTCACTTTTTTAATTGAAATGTATTACTATTTCATATAACGTTGGTAATACTAGCAGCATTAATTTTAATACGACTCGATCTTGTACCGGGTGACCAAATAAGAAAGGACGCCGGACATATCTAAATAACCGTTTATACGTTTTTTTTTTTATTCTTTCAGGCATCCCTCTGCTCCCCCCTGAGGGGTTTCTGGCAGGCTCCCCCCAATCCGGATTGGAGTCCAGCCTTTGCTCCCTCCAATCTAATTGGGTTCCAGCCTACCTTCCGTCCTCTGGGGTTCGCATGGCGGCACTGCAGCTTTCGGTAGCTTATTGTACCATCATTTAGATGCCCTTCTCCTTCCCTTTCAATCTTCTCATTTATTCTCCCATTCATTCCACCGTTTGGGTGGGCCCCGCACTCTACGAGTTCGGTCACCCATCCAAACCGTGACCAGAGAGATCACTGCTTAACTGTAAGAGCGTAAATGCCCATCATTACTCTCGCCGCTAGCCCCTCTGGCTAACCGTTTATTCTTACAGGTCAGAGAAGTTTTTAAAGTGGTCCCTAGAATTGCCGGAAATTATATACAACTTCGCCGCTAGGGGAGTAATCAAATGATAAAATATGGTAAAAAAACTGAAATTGTAATCTGTGCGAAATTTTTCTCATTATCATTGGTCATAAGTATGACGCCATCTAGGGGCGAAGTAAGAAACGTGAAAGTAATTTCTAGCGATTCCGTTCGATTACTTTTACATTTCATTTTTTTTTTTTTATATTTCTACGACGCATGGTTTCAGAGATACAGACTGTATCCTACAGCCGGTGTCCTTTCTTATTTGGACACCCAGTACACAAAAATATTTTGCCCAAAACCTACGCCAAAACACCATAAAGCACTTTTCATTCAAGTTTATTGAAAATAGGTACGTGTATTTGTATTTCGATCACGTTGGAATCATATGTATTTATTAAATATTTATTATAAACAACTTTAAAACTTATAAATAATATCCTAAATTACATAATTAGTACATAAGTGAGCAATACATATCTGCTACGTATTTTTATAAAAGTCTTGTTTTGCAAAATTTATCGTGCGTGCTATATAAACGTGCTGCCAACTCTTGCGAGATATCTCGTTTGTGGCTTGTGAATGAAGGTATCGTCTTGCGATATATCTCGTCAGTGGCCTCTCAATAAGGGACACATTATGCGATATATCTCGTCCGTGGCACTAAATGGGTTAAATTTAAATAGGCTTTTCAACCGATATTTAGCTCAATGCTCGTAAGAGCAGATGTTCTGCTGGTGAAGAGCGGCTGCTAAATTTAAAAAAAAAATTAATTTTCAACTTTTTTCGTTTTTTGGTTTTTGTGGGTCGATTCCTTTCTGTAAAATAAATTTAGGCACTGTACGGTTAAAGATACTTTATTCTTAAAGGAAGTAGGTAAAATATAGATATTGTCTTTTTAAGTTATGCTACCATCAAAGGTTCCAGTTCAAAATTAGGCGCTCCGCTGGAACCATCCACATTGTCGTCGATGTCCGTACCGGTTATATGCATGCAATGGTTTAGAATTAAGTGCATCATATATTTTTTATCCTGTATTTTTGGATTTTATACTTTTTTCCCTCAAGCCACAGTGGTATTAGCAAGTCTTTAAATAATGCCTGACGATCCATTTGTGTTTCTAATGTGCATTTCAGCATACTCGTTGTCTTCAAAATTTGTTTTCCAGAAAAATTGTAAATGGTTTCTTTATCAAGAAGTGTCTGACGTGTTTTTAAGCAGCTAACTTTTTTATTCTCAACATTTATTTTTTCATTTATATATTATTACACGATTTACCTAACCGTAGGTTGGGATTTTCTTCTCCTATCCAATAGCTAATCCTATCATTTATATTGTATCACAAAAATATTTGATTTTCCAATTTTCAATATTTCATACTCACTCTCACCGAGAACCAAATAACAAAGTGTCACTCTTCCCTATTATGCAGAAAGCAACCAAGCCGATTGGATTGCTTCTGCAGGCAGGTTACTTGCTTAACCAATTTAAGCGGTCGGTTCATTAGGTAATAAATAACTCCAGGTACCAAAATGTGTCGTGGATCTTTTTTTGCAGTAAGGGTTACGTTTCTTAATCCAATTTACCTATTGCAAAAGTCTAAAAATCACAAATTTGTGGGTTGCTTCCTCTCTTATTTTTATTATTATTATTATTCTCATAAACACCTTTAACTTTAAAACGTATTTTAGAGAAACGATACCCTCACATTTGAAGACAGATATTAAATCCTACTGGAAAATCATCAAAGTATCTACTTTGGTGATGGTATGGATGATTTCTAGTTACTCTTTAATGGCGAATGATGAAAAAGATAAAGAAAATCACCATTTAGTTGTGTCCAATAGCACTACTTTAAGTAAGTATCATTCAAAGTTACTATAGCTTTTTCTTAAGTTGGGTTTGAAATACACACAACGAAACTTATATGGAATCATCTATTATTTTTCATAATTTTTGAGATATATGAACATTTTTGTTTATGAAGAAAACTTAGTTCTTACCAAAGACTTTAAATGACAAATATCCCACATAGCAATAAAAATAATTAATTAGTTAACAAAATAAACACAATGGTATTTTTTTGGTTTCTGAAACGAAATAAGATTTAAACTTTTAATAGCCGAAAAGCAAAAACAGAAAGAAAATTGGTAATTTTAACAATCCGTGTTAAAACTTCTAACCTTTATGCAAGCTTCTATTGGCCTTGGCATGTTCTTATTAAATTGTCAACATTGTCTTGGGGTATGTTTTCCCATTCTGCTAATGCTGCATCAATAAGCTGTGCGACATTTCCTGCATTGTTTCGACAAGCTCTAATCCTTCTTTTGAGCTGGTTCCACAAGTGTTCGATAGGATTTAGGTCTGGTGAACATGCAGGGCAGTCTAAAACTGCGACAACTTCTGTTTCAAGATATTCTGTAGCCACTCTGCTGGTATGGGGAAGTGCATTATCGTGCATAAAGATAAAATTATCTCCAACTTCAGCTCTCCAAAGCCTTATGATTGGTTCTAGTACTAAATCAACATATCTTGGACCGGTTAAAGTTTGTTGAAGTGGTAACAATGGAGTTTTTGCTTTCAGCATAATACAGGCCCAAAACATTACAGTTCCCCTTTAATATTTTGGGATATATCTGGTAGCGTGGAGTCTCGCTCATCTTCCTAAAACTCTGAGAACCCGAATTCGATGGTCATGTGATCTTAGGCCAATTCTGGTCTCATCCAAAAAAAAAGAACATTTAGCCAATTCTCAATTGTCCAGTTTTGGTGTTGGAGGCACCAATTTAGCCGGTCAATTTCATTTTGCCTAGATAACGGTGGGGCCCATAACTCTTTCCTACTATACAAACCTCGTGTGCGAAGTCTTTCTTTTAGAGTTACAATTGAAACGTTCACATCTGTAGCTTCCAGAAGTTGTCGTTGTAGCTCTAGATGAAAAACACTGGGATTTTGTCAAGTAAATTGGCACACAAAGCGGTCCTGTTCTTTAGTTGTGACTCTTTGACTACTTTGTATGGGCCTGTTCTTGAGAGTTTCTAGTTCCAAGTACCTTTCATATGTTTTCAATACAACACCCTGGGTATCGCTTACTATCTCTTCTACCTCTCATTGGGGCATTCATTGTTCAATAAGAGCAATAATTCTCCCCCTTCTGCATATCTGTTAGTCCAATATGAGGCATTTTGTTGTTTTTTTTGGACCGAAATAAAATTACCGGAGAATTGTGATTTTACGTCTAAACACAAAATTCACAAGATAATAAATCTCAGCAGTTGTTTCTTCTTTATTATCAAGTTTATTAGGAACAAAAGGCCTTATCTTAAAGTTAGTTACCAAATTTTTTTCCTTACAAAATGTTTATTCAGAAATACACAGTGATTCCATATAAGTTTGGTTGTGTGTATATACAAAGTAAAATGTCTAGTTATACAACGCGTAACAACAAGGTAGGTCTGGGATGTGATGTGTGACAGATGTGATTAGGATAGAAAGTTGTCTTCGCTAAAATAAGAATTACCTACCTTAATAAATTTTTCATTTGCACAATGAACGTCCAGGGTGATCAATTTCAAGTAGTCCAAGGGCCGCTCTAAATAAAATTGCGGCTGTGAGTTACTGCGTACCGCACACCAAAACAAAATAACTGCAATTTTAAACAAATAAACACTTGACTGAGACAATAAACTTCGTGAACTGTATTCAAAGTTTCTCTGTGAATGGGTCTATTCCATATTATTTACTCTGCCCGTCCAGCTGACTTGCGCGCAAATAGGCACTCAAATGTTCAAGAGCGGTCCAGGAAGAATAAAAAGCTGCAATTTTCCAGTAATTTCGTTTTGCAAGCGGCATCACTTATATGTGTTATTTTATTTCATGATTGGGGTAGAAATTCATCGCTTGTATATGTTTTCATTTTTTAGGCGTATTTATATATTTTTATTTTGTAATAATAATCATAATTATAATAGTAATGAATATATCTTCTTATTGGACAATTTTTTTTTAGGTTTTGTGCTGTACGAACAGCCGAAAGACGGGAAACTGGAAATATCTTTAAAAGGTCGACTTCTACCCCCTTATTACGGTTACCTTACAAAAGAAAAAATCAACGTATGGGTCCAACTAATGGTCATGAAAGAAGTTCCAACTGATAAATCGGAAATAAAAGAATCTGACGTCATTTTCTTGCAGGTCCGCATTTCTTTATTATTTCTTTATAACCAATTATATCTTGTAATCACAAAGTGTTCGTAGTACTAGCAATAAGTAAAAATAACAAGAGAGGACAATCAGAGCGAGAGAATAAATATAATTATAATAAAAAATCCAAACAAAAACAAATAGCATTGTACTTCGAAGCCATGAGAATATAAACTGTTCCAGTCTTCAGGGAATTCCTATTTTAGATCTCCGTACTATTTCTTCAGTCACAAATACAATAATGTCAACTTCAGATCTGCTGTGGCTTTACGGAAAATGAGCTGATTTGCCCAATATACCTGGATGGAATAGATTTATTGAAGAAGTGACAGTAAACCAATTATATTAGAAATCATAGCTTGTTCGCCTTTTATTAATGTACCACCGACTAACTCCGACACGAGTTTTACTGTTTTAGTATTAGCCTCTGAGAAAAATGATTAAATCAGCAAACATGTTTCATCACTTTTGATCAGCCACTGTATTTTAAAGCAAAACAAATTGTCTGTTCGAGTGGCATGGAGGCAAAATTGAAAAATGTCGTTATACGATTAGGTGGTTTTCATTTATTGATGTCGTTCATAGGAGCCATAGGGTATATTATGAATTGTAGTGGATTAACCGAGCTTCGAAGTACAATTTTTGCACCGAACTCACTTGAAAAGATGTTATCTTGACAGGAATTCTTATGTACGTACTCAACACGTAACGAATCAAATAGAGAGACATTACATAAGAATCGTATTCTGTGGAACGAAGATATTCGTCTGAACACGTGCCGTATTGAAAGATAAGAATCCCAATGCATGACATGCACACTCCCGTCCGTTCAGAGCACATGTGTCTCGCAAAATTGAGCATGCAGGAAATTGATTTATTACCAGACCAACAAGCAGGGCTAGAAACAATTTTCTGCGATTTCGACAAGTCTGTAATACTTGGAGAAGATTAAGAAGAATGCGTCAAAGAATTAGCTTCAAAATTTAAAAATCATCTAATAACGTGGTCCAACTGCTAAATTATGGATTTCTTAATTTCGCATGGTATTAGTTATAAAAAAATTTATTGAGGTCGAAAGAAGCTCAATCTGGGACCTTCATCTTAATAGTATCCAGAAATGTTGCCCTATTTTCATGACATTATTTGTACACTAAATGTGACCATTTATATTTACAGAATTGTATAGTTTAAAAGAAAAGATGAATCCTACAAAATACAGATATTTTATAGATGGAGGGCGCTTCACAATTAAATGTTCTGACAAATTTTGGTGTGGGGCACATCGTTAGACATGGTTATTGAGAAATCATTATTTCGAATGATGAAAACCGTAGGTGGACTAACTCGTGGGCGGGGAGTCCAGGAGAGCGTACTTTCTAGGTGGACTATGGGAATGTCATTTTTGCACGCGTTTGAAAATTTTTGCAATATAGATTTTAGCACTTCGAAACAGCATGTTGAATTGAGAAGTTCTCGGATTAATCGTGATAACAATGACGTTAAAAAATTAATTAATGGATTGGTTTTCCCAACATTCGCCTTTCCTGCAATGAAAGAACTAATGTCAATAAGTACTGGAGTAATTTTTGCTATAAAAGCAACTAGTAACAAGATATCTTGAAAAAACTTATTTTTTACAATTTATTACAATATGGCGGCGACGGCGGAAAATTAAGAGGTGGCAAAATAAAAAAAAATCAAAAAGAGCAGTTAAAAATACATCAAATCGCCAAATATCAAAACTTTCACAAATTACGTAATTACTGGAGTATAATTTTGTTAGGAATTTTAAAATCTGCGTTCATTACTTCAGACTTTAAAACATACAGAAATAAGAAAATATTTCAAACTCAAATGTGATTAAGACGTGAAATAAAATAAATAAAACTAAAAGTCAATATCACATAATTACGAGCGACCGTTTCCCCTTCAGTTAACAACTACATATATAAATTATTGTGATTTTATGACATTTACGTTTGCCAGCATTCACTTAGCAACGATAGTGTCTACTATGATAAAATCGCAATGTTATTAAAATCAAATCGGATTTTTTAAAATACTGATTTGTATTATGACTGCAATAACGACCTAGTATGACATAAAAGTTTGTACGCACCGCGGGTATAAACAGATGTGTTTAACCTCGGATGACTTACATACCCTCGGGCCAGAGGGTCTCGGGTTTGTAAGATGGTCCTCAGGGTATAAACATATATTTTTACCCTTGGTACATAAATCCTTATTATCTCTTCTGTTTCTATCTTTTCATCTTTTTTTTATACATCTTATTCTTCTTTAATTACTTCTACGCTTTTATGTTCTCCAACTTTTCTCAAGCCTTATTCAGTTTCTTTGCATTATCATCTAACTTCTTTCCCATTTCTCGTTAATTTTCTTCCACATTCATCATTAATATTCGAAACATGTCCATCACATCCATTTTCTTTTTACACTCCTTAGTCTTTTCTTTTTTGCAAACTTCTACTTGACTGTTGATCCTCTTCCTCTTGACTTGTTTTGTATTTTCCATCTTTGTACCACTTCTTAATTTCATCTATTTCCTTAATTTTCAGGTTACTCTATTTTATTTATTTCTACTACCTAAACACACATCTCCCTACTTTCTTATATTAACCCAATCTCACAATTTTAGTTTTATAAAAAATTACAAGTAAATTTTTATTATTGTAAATTATTTAATTCAAATATATTTCGGTTATTAAACTCAACGGAAAATATAATTTTTAAGCTATTGAACTGTGTTCGCCTCCATATTCGCTTTTAAAAAAGAAGTAGTGTTAAAATTTGAAAAATCATTTAGATTTCGTAGCATAATATTTGTAAATAGTTTGTTCAGAAAATTTAACGTATTCTTTTTTTATCATATCTCTTTTTATTTATAAAGCTAAACTTTTAGACAAATTAAAATCTGTAAAAAATTATGTTTTGTTACCGTCTAATCACGTGACTAACATCAAAAAATTTCCAGTATAATCACTTCCAGGGTACCCTGGAGGAAAAAATCCGGAAATCAATGTGGTTGTCATGGCAGTATGCCAAAATAAGAGAGCCTTTGATTGGTCGAAAATTGTTGTGGTGAAATTTTCGGTTTGAGTATAGGAATTTCCCCAAACCGATAACAGCAAAATTGGACGACAGAAAATGCTTGAGAAGTTATTTTCAATTCCCTCATAAGACGAAAGTATTGTAATTGTGAAAAAGTAACCCTCTGAGATTATTTCAGATCTTCACATGTTTCCCCATTCAGTCGGTCTGTCTGTCGTCGTCTGTGTATTGGCACGATATCTCAAAAACGGCTTTATGGAAAAACTTTAATATACGTCATGGTTTAGGGAAACATACAGGAAGATTAAAAAAAATTGTAAAGACCATAAGAGATAAGTCACTTACTCCAAAATTGTATAAAAGGCGAACTAATGTAAACCATGAATGAAAATATAGCCAGATAGAATTCGTAAAATATTTTATTGAAAGGCTTCACAAATATAAAAGCCACTATTCACTTTTTTATAACGTTGGACTACACTGTGGAAAAGTGTTATGACGTATACAAAGAAGAATGCCAAAAAGAAAATAAAAATTCTGTATCCTCGAATAAGTTTAGACACATATTCACTGAAAAATACAATAATAAGTTTAAATCGCCAAAAACAGACACCTGTAGTGTTTGTGATAACTTAAATGTTTATCTAAAGAACTCTGAACTCAGTAAGGACCAAAAGGTCACACACAAACTGAGAATTAAACCAGAATTACATTATAAAAAGGCCAAAGGTGGCCAGAACGCAATTAAAATGGCAAAAATAGAAGTCACTCAAACTCAAAGTACTTATGCTATTAAATTTAATCTTCAGCAGACTTTTTCAACGACAAAACTTTCTACTGGAACAACATTTTGCAAAAAAAAGATAGATGTTTTGTTATAATCTAAGCATCCATCAAGGATATTTCTACATGTGAAATGAATCGACAGCTGGGAGAGGGACGGATGAGATAGGAAGTTCTTTGTTGAAACATTTTTCACAGCACAATAAAAAAGATTCTGAGTTAATTGTCATATCAGATAACTGTGGAGGCCAAAATAAAAATTGTTCCTTACTATCAGTGTGGCTTGGTCTATTTAGCTTAAGAGATATTTGAAGAAATTTTACATATATTTCCTCAAGTCGGCTATGCAATGCTTCCTTCGGACCGGGATATTGCATGTGGAAAAATATGTCAGAGCACAATACATCTTTACCCCAAAGGAATGGGAGAAAATTCTAAGATGCGCCAAAAAAAAAACAACATTTATTGTAAACAGAATGACTCAAAATTACTATTTAAAAATATCCGATATGAGAAGTTTTTTCAACAGCCAAATGCATCCGATGAAATAGGCATAAGAAACGTCGCGTCGTAAAAATGCAATTTTCCTCAGGAGAACGCAATAAAATTGGGATGTCTAATTCATACTCGGGTGACTTTACATCTGTTTCTATAAAAAAGATGAAGACCAATGAATTTTAAGAAACGCTTCGTCAAAGAGCTGAAAACAAAATACAACTCCAAATTACCAATAGTTCAAGGAAAACTTGAACAGTTTGTCTTGTCTTGTTGGATTCATTCTGTTCATCATCCCTTTTATAAAAACGATAATTTAAAATAGTTTCGACATGTTCGTTTTAGAAGTATGAATAATTTTAAGATATGTATTTAAAAAAATAAAAGATAATTTTTTCCACCTGAAACAAAATTCACAGCCCTTTAATAAAATAACAAAATATTACGAAAATTATTGAACTCATTTAATTCAATTTTAAAAAGCAGTAACTTTGCTCTGGATATTTTTCTAAACTTTCCACAAGCTATTTCTCAGACTTTCAAAAACGTCAGTTAGCATTTTTTACACCCAAGCCCTTCATTTATCTGTGTAGATGTGTAGGATTATCATGCCACGTGCAGGAACATACTGCTATTTGTGTATCGTGGTTCAGTGGTTATAATTTTAAATTGTTAAAATGGCAGTGCTTAGGAGTTCACTGCTTTTATAATTTCTATATCAAGAGAAGTTCTGGATAAAATACTTTGCCAATTTTTTTGTTATAGACATCTAGAAGCAAATAATTTCAATACCAGCAAAAAATTAAAAATGCATCGATAAAAAACAATCTTTTTAATTTGACAGATTACACGACAGCTGCCATCACCCACTAGGCATAGCATATGTATATATAATATAAATAAGGGCATGGCATATAAAATGGTATAAACGCACTTCGTAGATTAAATTTTAAACGAAAAAAGTTAGATTGTTTACAAAAAAATAAATATAAACCTTATGCTTCTGACAAAATTGTAGCACTTTAACATTAAACGAATTAAATTTAACCAATATACAGGGTGTTTCATAATATATGCGCAGGACTTCAGGACGTGATAGCTCGTCTAAAAATATGAAAAAACGTTTCTATTAACTTACCCTCTAAAATGAACCATTTTCGAGATACAGGGTGTTAAAATTGAAAAAAAATTTCTACGCCACTGAAAAAAGTACGGTTTTGAGACGCCCATTTAAACAGCCAATGTTTTCTACACAAAAAAGGTACTCTTGGTCATACGCTCTAAAGCCGACCGTTTTCGAGAAAAATCAAATTTTAATGTTGAAATACATGGTCATACTATTAGTGCCGCTCTTATTTTGACACCTAAGCATACGTAGATGTTTATGTTCTAAAACTGACTTTATTAAGGATTGTGCCTGTCCTTAATTGTGGATGTTTAAGGGCAGCAGGTAGTGGCGACTTTATAGCTTTCGAATGCGCTCGCCGACATTCGTATCCGTTAGAAGTTTTTTAATATTAAATATTTAATATAATCGTCATTTAAACCTTCTAAAATTATAATTTCTAATGTCTCTTTAATAATATGTACTATTATAGACAACAAAAAAGATGAACTATAATTTAAAGTTATTAAAATTTGAATTCTTATTTGTTATAAATTTGATATGAGGTTAGAAATAAGTATAAGGACGAGGATTTTAATGTCAAAATTTCAGGTTTGCAATAAGTCTGATTTTAGCATGCAATTTATTTGACTCTAATTACGATGTCACTATTAGTGGCTGGCTTTATAGAAATTTGCAATATCTCTCTATTAAGGACAGACAAAATTTTTAATAAAGTTAGTGATCTGCGCATGCTCAGATGTCAAAATAAGAGCGGCACTAATAATGACTGACCTTAAGTGAACTTGCAATAACTCTCTAATATCAAAGCTGGATCAGCCGAACACGAATAGGGTTAGTAACCAAAGGTAAACGAACAATAGGATCCATAATCTTTCTGATCCGAGAAAGTTTCCAAAAACGCCTAAGGATTATATACTGTTAATGGGATTAAACTTTTTATCTCTTGGCAATAAAAGTAACACTTCAGTACCTAAAATTAAAGATTAGAAAAAAACAAAAAGTTCAAGAACTATCTTTAAAAGTCAATCTCTTCACTATAACTACTGGTATCATTATCATTGTCTTTTCTGAGATTTATTTTAGGGTCTATTAAGTTTTCCATTGCTATATCCACCTTCCAAAATAAATTTTCCACCTTTTTAACATTAACAATGTATTTTCTCCATTGTTCTGTTTTTACATCTAAAAATGTCTTTAAGTACAAATTTTACACATCATAAAGGTATTGTTTCGAGAAACATAACCTTTTAATTGTGACCAGATTAGTTCAATGGAATTTAATTCTGCGTGGTAAATTTCTCGGGCCATTTCGTCTATAATATATTTTTTTGAATTTGTTTTTGTTGCCTTCAAATGATTTAGGAGGACTAATAATATTTTTAGAATGAAGCCATTTTAAAATATCTTCATTTATCCATCTTGTTGTAGATAGTGACTCCTTTAATCGACTGTGATAGGATGCATTATCCAAACCAATAACGGAGTTGGCTGGAGTTTTTTATGTTGTTCTGAAACCAATTTCAAACCATTCCTTCATTGTAGTCTTTTATTTTCTATGACTCAAACATTAATAAACCATCTGGCAAAAATCCAACGGTGCTTCCCGTGCTTCCAATGCGGGTTATTATTAAACGATTTTCTTTTACTGTTGGATTTTTTAATCCACAAGAGACCCCTTCCATAAGGGCTTGTTATTTAGTTTTGATGGTGGTATCTTGCAAATTTTTGTTAATGTATGTTCCAGTATTAACCCATGTTTCATCTAAATAAAATACCTGTTTATGCTGATTCATTGTGTCCACTATTTTTCGTAAATAATCATGTCTTTACAAAATGATTTCGTTTTTATCTGATACAAAGCTATTTCTCTCAAGTTTATTGTAACGAAAATTTAATTCATGTATTATTTTTTGCAGATGAAAATATGATATATATTTAAAAGAGTGGGGCTATTTTCTATTTTTGAGTGTAATTTGTTAAGTGTTGGAAAATGAATATACTATTTGCCTCATTACCTTCTTTACCCAAGTTTCAATACAGGTCTTGTTTCTTTCTAGGGGCTTTTTCAGGTGTGGGAGTTCTTCAATAACTATCTTCTTTAATAATGTTATACAATGTCCGCTTAGATACTCCAGTATAGGTCTTACATTTGGTGGCTATTTTATCCACAGAAAGTAAACCAAAGTCTTTTCGAAAATTATTAAATACATTAAGTACGATATGTTTTTCTTATAAAGATAATGCTTTATGTCTACTAGGTCATTTACGCGTACTTGTGCTTGCAATACTTTTTATTGCACTCGCCATTCTTATATAACTGTAAAATTATAATGTGTACTAATACAAAATTCCGAATCAATTAAAATACATACATAATATACGGCTATTAATAGATAAAGCCAAACTTATCTGTCAAAAGAAAAGGTTTATTACGGTAATATCTACTTTTTGAATCTATAATATGTTCTGCAAAATAAATAACTGCACTACTGTCTTCTCTAGACTATACAAATAGCAAGCAAAAAACACGACATGCTACTTTTTCAGTCAAATGAGGGACTATAATAAAAATAGTCAATAAAGCTTTCAAACGATGAATTATTAAATGTCCTTCTTTTCAGAACGTTTCAGATGTTTGGCAACTTCCAGTAGCCAATCACAAGCTTACCAGAGAAGTCCCAAAAGTCGAATATGGCAAAATGTTCCATCTCTTGCCTTTCAAGTATTCTAACTACAGCGTTCATTTATTACGAATACAAATCAAAACGCAGAATTTAAAGTCAAATTTTACTGTCGCAATGAAGTACAATCTGAGACCGACAAATCCTAAAGATGGAATTATCTACGCAGCTTTAATTTTGATATTTCTGTATGGATTGATAATTCTTGATGTGAGTATAGAATTTCATAAACCACTTCACTTACTACATGGCTTAATAGTTTTGTTATCTTTTGTGAATCGGTAGGTAAGTTACCGACATCAATCCTTTAACCTAACTTAATGCTGGTCATATTATTATTACCAATTATTAGCATACATCGGCGTTTCTGAAGGTTTTGGGCACAGTTTTATCTCTTATTGCTATAGAATTGGGAGCGAGAGAGTTAATAAATCTTCCTTTCGAAAAATAAGACTATAAAGCTCTAACTAGACTATCAATACTTTGCTTCCTGCGTTTAACTTTTCCTAAACTGATGTCAGTTTTTTCATTGTGTCTATATTGCCTTAAAAACTCTAGTTGTATTTTTCAGATAATTCATAGAACTCTAGCTTCGATGTTAGCCAGCACTATATCAATAGCAACTTTAGCTGCTTTTGATCAGAGGCCTTCATTGGCAGAGCTAATATCTTGGATAGACATGGAAACGTTGACTCTCCTGTTCGCCATGATGACCATGGTGTCTATATTTAGCGAAACTGGCGTTTTTGATTATGCAGCCGTAATGGCGTTTAAAGTAAGTTTGTTTGAAACTAAAACGTAAACGAATTGAACTATATATTATTTTTAGAAAACAGGTGGGAGATTATGGCCCCTCATTAACGTTCTATGTTTTATAACAGCTCTTAGCTCTTGTTTCTTGGATAGCGTAACTACTGCTTTACTTATAACACCTGTTACAATCAAGTAAGTAGCTTACTAAGGCTCTATTTTATTTAACTAAAAATATACTCGTATTATTTTAGATTGTGTGAAGTGATGAAAATCAATCCAGTTCAGATTTTAATGTACACGCTTATTTTTGGTAATATCGGTGGGGCTATTACACCAATCGGTGACCCTCCTAATGTTATAATTGCTTCAAACTCGGACGTCATCAAATCGGTAAGTGAATAAAATAATATTCAATGCCCAAACTGAATTCCTTCAGATATATTTGATAAGCATACATACAGTTTAAACTTGTCTTGATCAGATTATAGATTAGATTTAATGTAATAACCTGTCTTCGAATTATAACCAGATAGAGAAACTCCTGACAGACGAACTTAGAGAGAAATTAAACATTACTCGGAGAGTATCTTGAAGAGGATATCGTGCAAATGACGGGTAAACAAATACTTGAGACGTAAACCGAGTTTGTAATTCTATTATACCCGCTTGTATGAAAAACTACCTGGAATACACAAGGCAATAGCGAACAAAAACAGTCTGGTAGAGCAAACACTTAGAACATATATCGCCAATCTTGCGTAGGAAGGAAAAAAGTATGTTGGGAGTTAATAAAAAAAAAACCTACATATTCCACAATGCACAATTTGCTAGCGAAAGAGGGTATTGCAAACCAGTTATGATTTATCAGAAAACATGATGATATATGAGTCTTCGAGAAAACCACTTTTCGGATGTAAGACCACAGTCATATACTACGAGAGTCAAGCGCCCTTAAAAGTACTTAGTTATATGCAGATACACATAAAGCTTCTGTGGGCCTACTTGGAAGCCCAAACAGAGCCGGGTAGCCAACACATACCAACCTTAGCATGAATAGTAGGCCATATAAGATATAAAGGCAATGAATACGTTGATTTACTAGCACGAGAAGGATCCTGAAAATGTCCTTCCTGCAGTACCACACAGACAGCCCTCAGACACGCACAAATTTCTGGAATGGTGGAGCAATTCAGTAGGGTAGAGATAGATCAGAGAGTTTATAAAAGGACTATCGTCAAAACTCACCTAGTATCTACTGAGCCAGATTAGGAAAAATACTAGAGTACTAGTAGGCCTATTAACAGGACATTGTAGACTTAACAAATATTGTATAACTTTGCCCTGGAAAAAAAGATCGGTTCACGATTCTGTTAGGAAAAGGGAGACACTAAATTACAGGTATTCTGCTACTACAAAGGCCTATCAAGAGCGATATTCCATATACTTGGAGAAGAAGTTTATCAAAAAAATACCAAACCAGACAAAGTACTTTAACCAATGATCAAAGAAAATTCACAATATATTTGAACAGGTTGTAATAAGAGAGGCTACATGGCTCATAGTTCTAACCAAATCTTATCTAATCTTTGTAAGTTTACATTTCGAAATATGTCGAAATATGTCAAAATATGCCGAGATAGTACTTAGGTAAATAGTAAACAACTAAAGAGGTGATATGCCAGTTCACTCTTTTGGTTTTGACTTCATGAGATGGTAAATTATTACTATATCCTCCTTATTCGCCTGATTTAACACAATTTGATTTTTTTTGTCCTTTGCGTCCATTTTCCAATAGTATTTATCGTAATATTTTTTTATTAGCTATTCTCAATATATACTTAACATTTTTGTCTCATAAATTCTAGTTTACTATCTTACTCTAACAGTCTTTTGCCACTAGTACCATAATTATACCATCAGCATAATATGCTACATTTTGTCCACGTTTTGTTCTTTGTGCACCTTCGTTCATTTTCCTCATTACATCTAATGCTATGTTTTTTTTTAAAGAATTTAATTTCGAAATAATGTGTTTTAGGGAATTAACTTTGGAATTTTTACATTACATATGGCTACAGGAACCCTACTGATATCTTTTGTCGTTTACATACAAATTAGAATTATGTACCGAGATATGAAGTACTATCGTTTTGATGAACCATCCGAAATTGAAGGTAAGATATAACAGCTGTTGATCTGTTTTGACGATAACCAATCTTATCTACCAAGGATGAATATATGTGAATAAAGGTATATAAGATTACAAGTATAGAAAGTGACAATTTACACAAGAATGGAAAATATTGTCGCACGAGGCATGAGCCGAATACGATTCACACGAGTGTATAAAATCACTTTTATAAAAGACATTTTATCATCAAAAAATGTAAAATCAAGAAAATCTGGCTATAAAGATGTGGCTAGCTTTAGTTTTGTTTTTTATTTATATGCCTTTATTATTAAATAATTTTTAAAGTGTTTTACAGATGATGTTTCGTCAAAATTAAAAACGTTGTGATTCCATTTACAAACAATTTCACAAAATGATAAAGATAAAATAACATTAGGTACAAAAAATATCAGAATTCAATAATGGTTTTCATTAGTTTATTTTTTTTACAACCAATAAAATGAACAACCATGAACAATAACTTTTTTATTAATAATAATTGTCCACTTATCTACTACCCAACAATTTTTTTCTAAACAGTAAATATAAAATAAGTAGCGAAAAGATTAATTGTACGGGTTATATTATGATAAATAACATGTATTTAAAAAAATAAACAGCAGTCATATTTTTCAAATTTTCATACTTTTTGAAAATAAAAAAAAAAGAATTAAAAAAAAACAAAAAAAATAGAAACCAAATTAAAAAATAACAAAAAAAATGCTTAATGGGAATTGAACTCTCATCGCGACATGGTGTCGATATGCAAAGTTAAACGCTCTACGAACTGCGCTATCAGAGTTATGTCACTCGATTTTTCTAATCAAATATGTATATGAATGGAAAGAAAAACCAAAATAATGTAACTTAAGGTTCATTTAATAATTTGTTAATATAATATAATAATATAATAATATAATATAATCATCAAATCATATTACATAAATCAAAAGAGAAATTATTCCACATGTGTGTGATAAAGGGCAGTTATGATTTATCAGAAAACATGATGATATATGAGTCTTCGAGGAAACCACTTTCCGGATGTATGACGGATGTATGACTAAATAGTGCGATATGTGTCAATTTCTTAAGTGGTTGTACGAAAAATTATTTAAGGAGCTTGAGATAACTTTAGGAATATGGGAAAGCAAAGCTATACGGAATGTATAATATATTAGTCTTAAATTTATTAAGCTATCAACAATTATGAATTAAAATATGCAAAGAAGTTTGGGCTAGGGCTAACTTGGATTTATTTTACTTTTAAATCTTCGCAACCCTCGTAAGGATTCCTTCCTGTTACATGAAGACAGTGGACTGTATATTTGTAGAAACTTACAGAATGTAGAATTAGTGATGAACTGCTGGATAACTTGCTTTAGAATATTGAAATTAAAGTAATTACTTCTGCTAACAATTTTATATCCTTCTTTTTTACAAGTTCTTAAATATTCTGATAAACATGTAGGTTTGATTATATCAAAGACAAGCGACGTGCGCATAAAATAATAAAACAAAAGGTGTTGGAGGTTGAAAAGTGTCTTGTCGAGAGTAAGTTGTGTGCCACTGTTGTGATTGGACTAGAAAAAAGATCATATGTTTGGACATTGTCTGTTGATTGGTTTTTAAAAATGTGGAGAAGAGGTTACTAGATTACTGTGGACAGAGATAGAGTAAATGCTGTAACTATTAAATAAACGTATATATTTATTTTTGACGATTTATTTTAAATATGTCCATACGAACGAATGAGTCAGATCTACGAATGGAAGAGAGTTGGCACTTGTATTTAAATTACTTAAAATTTTCAATGACTGAGAATACTATATTTTTTTACGCGCGTAACTATGCTGCAAGTGTGTATATAATGGTTTTCTTGACATTCGTTATACTGCATTCTTGCATCTGCCAGGTTTGGCTAAGATTTACTTATTATAATATGTATTTGAAATGATATTTTTAGATTAGGTAATGCTATGTACAGATTGAATAATAAAATATATTGTTGTCCTTATGTTGAAGATACATTATTTATACAGGATGGATTATAAAGAGAGTAACCGAAGTATCTTTTAAAAAATACGTTCTGTTCTTGAACATAGTTCTTTGATATATAAAATTGCTACCTACTTTATAAACTGTTAATCAAATACTAAAGGAGGTTGTGAACTTTACAATCTGTCAGTCCTACTGTCAAATTATTGACAGTTACCAAAACTATCACTTTATATGTAAAAATAGATTTACCAGATTTATCACATTATTGTTGCCGCAAGAATATTTTTATTTAATTTAATTTTTTTTTAGATTTGAAACGGGAAATAGCAGTTTGGGAAAGAACAGCAGCTTCCGTCAGCAGCTACAGCAAAGACGAAAATCACGTAAAAGAAAGCTTGCTGAAGCAAATGGCAACGCTTCAAATTAAATTGAAAGATACTGTGCACCACATTGGTACATCAATCGATGATAAACCTGATTTTGAAGAATTAAAAAAACAGGTAACTGTTTCAGTTAATTGGTTAAAGTGGAATGGGGGTATGATATTTGAAATTTAAATAACTTATTCCCAAAACTGATATAACAAGAATTATTTAGAATTGCTTTTTACAAAGGAATATTTTATGTTTTAGTATCCTATAAGGAACAAATCTCTGTTGATTAAATCTGGACTTACTTTGATTCTGGTAATGGTCGTATTTTTCTTCAATTCTATACCAGCCCTAAGTAAGTTAAAACGATTGATCTATATTTCTATATTGATAATAAATTTCTTAATACCGAGTAGGGATTTGGGTTAAAATTTAAACAGTATACCTAGTTATAATAATTAACCTTCTAAACTGGCAATTAAAATTAACTAAAACGTTACATAATTGGTCTCTGAGGGCGAGTTGTATGTACAATAGGCAGTTAAAATATATTCTTTATTTAAATAGTAAACCTCGTTGTTCAATCATCGATAATTAACCATAGTTTCAAAATCATTTGTACATTAAATATAACTTGATAAAAATTAAACTCCTGCTAGCTAAATTAAATTTACAGCATTCTATGAACCTATGAACCTGAACTCGCTGCTGCGCGGCTTCGTTCGTAAACTTTTTCACTTCGTGTTTATTGGGTTACTTACAACTCTTGTTTATACTATTTTGAATTTGCTTTTATGTTGCTTTGCTAGAATGAAGCCATTTTGAAATATCTTTATCATGTTGTAGGTAATGACTTCTTCAATCGACTTTAATAGGAGGCATTATCCAAAACAACTGAGTTAACTGGATTTTTTTTATAATGTTCTGAAACCAATTTATAAACATAGGGCCATTTATTTCCATAATATTATAAAAAGAAGGTATGATATTACGCAGATTGATGCTATACGTCACGGTGACTTATTGTGGTGGAAGGCGTGGGGATTTTACGAATTTGACGTATCAGCTGATCAAAAACAGCGCTTGAAAATAAATTTTAATCGGCGGCTCATGACCAATCAGATAACCATATTCCACATCACAATATGCCATGCGTGAACTCGACGAGATTTCATCGGCTAAGTATCATACCTCTGTTTTTTTTTGTATCATGATCCATTTTCTTATGGTAGCCTTTTATTTTCTTTGACTCGAACATAAATAAACCATCTGACTAAAATCCATCGTCGCTTCCAATGTGGGTTATTGTTAAACGATTTCCTTTTTCTATTGAATTTTTTAATCTACAAGAGACCCCTTCCATAAGGGCTTATGTTTTAGTTTTGACGGAGGTATCTTGCTAAATTTTTCTTGCTCTTTGTCCAGCAATAACACATGTTTCATCTAAATAAAATACCTGTTTATGCTCATTTCTTGCGTCTGCTATTTTCCTAAAATATTCATGTTTCCTCGAAATGATTTCGTCTTTCTCTGTTAAAAAGCTGTTTTTGACATGTTTTTTATAATGAAAATTTAATTCATGTAATATTTTTTACAGCTGAAAATTAGGAGGAGTGGGTCTATTTTCTATTTCTGAGTGTACATTTTTAAGTGTAGGAATTTCATTAAAAACAAAAAAGAATGTACCATTTGCCTTATTACATGTTTAATCCAAGTTTCAAAAGAAGGTCTTGTTTCTTCCTGGGGACTTTTTTTGATGTGACTTCTCCAACATGTGTATGTTTTAATAATTGTATAGACTGTTCGCTTAGATACTCCAGTATGATAGGTCTCTCATTTAGTGGCTATTTCATCCACAGTAAGTGAAAAAGTGTTATCGAAGATTATTAAATTCATTACGATATTTTTTATGTAAACTAGGTCGTTTACGCGTACTTGTGCTTGCAATATTTTTTAATGCACTCGCATTCTTATATAACTGTAAAATTATAATATATCCTAATACAAAATTTCAAATCAATTAAAATACATACGATAGAACTATGAAGAAATACATTCAGACTTATCTGTCAAAAGAAAAGGTTTATTACCATGGTGGTAGGATAGTGAAGGCGATGCTATGTTCATTCAAATCATTAATAAAACAACTTGAGGATAAGTCATTTATAACTATTTTTGATATACAAAATTGGGATCGGCAGGCGTGTATTTCCACGTTCTTACTTCTACTATTTCTGGTTAAGTAAATCTGATTTGAATTCGAAAAAATAATTAATTTCCATTATTAAGGTATTTTCAAATAATTATTAGATTAATGGAGATATTGATATCATTTAATTGAATTTTAATATTATATTCGATTGTTATTAACTTATCGATTATTAGTAAATATCTAATTCAATTACAGATTAATAGGGCAATTTAACGATCGTTTTATAATACGGAATTGTCGAGCATATTTATTCAAAAAATTAGTTTTTATTTTATAAAACCAAATTCTCATAGGTTGTTGCCCATCTCATCGAAAATAATCAATTAAATTAAAATAATCAAATCAACAAACATAATTAATTAATAAAAAATAATCAATTAATCGAAAATAATCGATTATTTATTTACCCTACCCTGAATATATCTAAGGGTAGGCAAAATAATCGTTCAGTCAATTAATTTTTATTTGAAAAATCGTTATTGATCGATTATTTGGGATTAATCGATTATTTAAGAATAATTCGATTAGCGATTATTCTCAATTATTTTCAATTATCGATTATTTTTGACTATTTTAATTATTTTCGATTATTTTCGATTATTTTCGATTATTTTGGATTATTTTCGATTATATTCGATTATTTTCAATTATTTTCGATTATTTTCGACTATTTTCGATTATTTTCGATTATTTTTGATTATTTTCGATTATTTTCGATTATTTTCGATTATTTTCGATTATTTTCGATTATTTTCGATTATTTTCGATTATTTTCGATTATTTTCGATTATTTTCGATTATTTTCGATTATTTTCGATTATTTTCAATTATTTTCGATTATTTTCGATTATTTTCGATTATTTTCGATTATTTTCGATTATTTTCGATTATTTTCGATTATTTTCGATTATTTTCGATTATTTTTGATTATTTTTGATTATTTTCGATTATTTTCGATCATTTTCGATTATTTTCGATTATTTTCCATTATTTTCGATTATTTTCGATTATTTTCGATTATTTTCGTTTATTTTCGATTATTTTCGATTATTTTCGATTATTTTCGATTATTTTCGATTATTTTCGATTATTTTCGATTATTTTCGATTATTTTCGATTATTTTCGATTATTTTCGATTATTTTCGATTATTTTCGATTATTTTCGATTATTTTGGATTATTTTCGATTATATTCGATTATTTTCAATTATTTTCGATTATTTTCGACTATTTTCGACTATTTTCGATTATTTTCGATTATTTTTGATTATTTTCGATTATTTTCGATTATTTTCGATTATTTTCGATTATTTTCGATTATTTTCGATTATTTTCGATTATTTTCGATTATTTTCGATTATTTTCGATTATTTTCGATTATTTTCGATTATTTTCGATTATTTTCGATTATTTTCGATTATTTTCGATTATTTTTGATTATTTTTGATTATTTTCGATTATTTTCGATCATTTTCGATTATTTTCCATTATTTTCCATTATTTTCGATTATTTTCGATTATTTTCGATTATTTTCGTTTATTTTCGATTATTTTCGATTATTTTCGATTATTTTCGATTATTTTCGATTATTTTCGATTATTTTCAATTATTTTCGATTATTTTCGATTATTTTCGATTATTTTCGATTATTTTCGATTATTTTCGATTATTTTCGATTATTTTCGATTATTTTCGATTATTTTCGATTATTTTCGATTATTTTCGATTATTTTCGATTATTTTCGATTATTTTCGATTATTTTCGATTATTTTCGATTATTTTCGATTATTTTCGATTATTTTAGATTATTTTCGATTATTTTAGATTATTTTAGATTATTTTAGATTATTTTAGATTATTTTAGATTATTTTAGAATATTTTAGATTATTTTAGATTATTTTAGATTATTTTAGATTATTTTAGATTATTTTAGATTATTTTAGATTATTTTAGATTATTTTAGATTATTTTAGATTATTTTAGATTATTTTAGATTATTTTAGATTATTTTAGATTATTTTAGAAAATTTTAGATTATTTTAAATTATTTTAGATTATTTTAGATTATTTTAGATTATTTTATATTATTTTTGATTAATTGATTATTTCAAATAATCAATTAATCAAATATTTCAGAATAATATATCAATCGAATAATTTCGATTTATTGATTGTTTTCGATTAATTGAATATGATTTAAAGAAAAGTTTTAATCGAGTAAAAGTAATAAAGAAAATTCTTGAAATCTACAAGGTGTCTTAATGAAAAGTAGCCCATTTCCAGAGCTTATAACTTTTAAACAAATCGTAGTAACGTGCGGTTTTTGCTAATATGTGTTATTTTGCTATAAGTTTTGCTTTAGTAATACAGAAATTATGTATTACCTATATAGGCTGTTTTTTTAAAATTTTTATATTTTTTTTATTTATTTTTATTTATTTTATACAAACCAGTCATAATAATGTCCTGTATAATATTTATAATTTTTATTCTAACCTACGAAAGGTTATTAAAGTCAATTTTTTCCTTAGACAGGCATTGCTAGAGCAGGAACGAATTATAAATCTAGGCATTAAGCACTTTATAAAGTTTTTAACACTCAAAAATCATTCAAAAACGAATAAAAATTTAATTTAGTTACAAAAATGACACTAGAAAGATAACCCTATAAAAATGACAAACTGAATTAACAGTAATGTCAGACCAATCCCACTTTGCCACTTTGCACTTTGCTCTTACACATGTCGTATCCCCAGCTTGCAATATCAATGATTTGAACCCACATACTTTGATAACTATACGGGGCAAGAGAGAGGTCCGACACGCCCAACATAGGGCGCGGCCATTTTGAACCCTATGACACAGTTTATAGCTAAAGAATCAGATCGCTTACTCTGCGTCGGCACTTTTTATCTCAATGTTCCAGTTTATACACTGCGCAACTGATTCTTTAGCAATAAACTGTGACTCCAAAAATAATATTCACTGACACTGACAGCAGCAAGCAAAATATCAGGTGCGTTTTAATCATCCGCTTCTGCTTCCGGAATTGTCAGTTCAGTCGTTCTAACCTGTCAGATTAAAACAAGAAAACTGACAATTCCGAAGCAGAAGTGGATGATTAAAACGCACCTATTAAA